AGCTAATTAGGAGATAGAATTGATAGGACGTGGTGATAACTTGGATGATAATACAACATATACAGAACACTTACTATGTACCAGGCACTGTTCTAAATACTTTATATATTTTCACATGTATTTTATATATTTTCATATATAAAAAATAACTTTATGATGTATGTACAATTTTTATCCCCACCTTATAGATGAGGAAACTGGCACAGAGAAGTTAATAACTTGCTCAAGATCCCACAGCTAGTAATTGGCAGGTAAAACCAGGATGTAAACCCAGGCAGTCTGGCCTTAAAATCTGAGTTCTTAACTCAAATGCCTACTCAGTATACTAGAGGGAAAGGGTGAGAGGTGGGTCCTCAGTGGCTGCCAGGTTTCTGGCTTAAACACCTGGTAGACTTATGCTGCCAGTTGCTAAGAGAGGAAGCAAGGAAGCAGGTTTAGGGGGCAGGCAGGGGGAGAAATTTAATTTGGACATGTTAAATTTGAAGTATATAAGTGGGCTGATACCTAGGAGGCATTTCGAAGAAGGGATCTGAAACTCAGCAAAGAGATCTGGCTTGCAGTTAGGTGCATAGAGGACATGTGGAGCCCTGGAAGGGAAAGTGAGGAGAAAAGAGTGTCTAGGCAGGAGGACTTAAGAAACTTCAACATTTAAGGAGTGGGCAGGAGAAAAAGAATACACTGGGAAATAGAGCAGCAAGAGACATAATTAAGATCACATTGCATCATGTTCCTCCTCATAACCCTCATGTGGATTTCACCCAGTTCTTAACTTCACTCAGGAAAAGCCAAAGTCCTTTATGATAGTCTACTGGTCCCTGCTACAGGACTCATTACTTTTCTGACTTATGATTGTCCCCTTGCTCTCTCTATTGCAGAACACTGTCCTCTCTGTTCCTTTTAATAATGTAGACACACTCTTGCCACAGGGCTTTTGTACTTGCTGTTCTCTCTAATTGGGATATTTTTTGCTCATAGCCGTAGGGCTTGCTCCCTCGTTCCCTTCAGGTCTTTATTTAAAAGTCGCTTTGTCAGTGAGTTCTTCCCTGGCTTCCCTACCTAAAATGTCAATACCACTGCCATGCCCCTCACTCCCACCCCCACTGTGTGTGTGTGTGTGTGTGTGTGTGTGTGTGTGGATTTATACACATGCATGTATACTCTTCTTCATGCTTTATTCTACTTAGCTCTTCTCATTATCTAACATAATATATTTCACTGATTACATTGATTTATCTTGTTTCATGTCCGCTTCCCCCACTAGAATGTCAGCTCCATGAGGGCAAGGCTTTTTGTATGCTTTGTTCTATTTCTTTGTTTCTCCCGTACCTAGACCAGAGCCTGGCAGATGTTCACGATGTGTTAGCTGAAGGAATGGACACCCGACCCGGCAAATTGGGTATTCTGGACATCAAAAGTAGAGAGCTTGTCAAATGGGGAGAGCACAGAGTTAGTACTGTGTAATGCTGCTAAGAAAGAGCTCAAGTGACATGAAAAAGAGAAGTACTTATTGCATATATCAATAGGGAGGTCAGGACATTGGTGAGATCTGTTTTAAAGGAGGTGGGGACTAAAATGGGACTGTAGCAAGTGGATGAAAAAAGTGTACACAGCACTCTAAAAAATTCTTTTTTTATAGGTTTGGCTTTGATGATACATCTCTGGATACTACCCAGTTGCTAGGAGTAGGAGGGAGACTTCACTGTATATACTTCTGTACCTTTTCAGTTTTGTACCATGTATAACTGATACTATTCATTAAAAGTCATTATGAAGCTGTATAGGTTTAACTAAAAAAGATATTTAGCTCTGAAGTAGCAGACAGGAGGGAGGGAGGGGTCTTGACTTTGTTATCTGTAAAGATCCAGTGAGCTCGTTAAATGCTGTCCTGAAGGAGAAGGTAGGGAGAGAGTTGAAGATACTTCAGAAAGAAGGAATAATTGATTGAGAAGGTGAAAAAAAAAAAGGATGTGACCTATGTGGAAAAGCCAACTTAGAAAGAAGGAAGGATAGTTCTTTTGTTGTAACAGTAGGAAAAGATGAATGCAGAAGGACGTAGATTCTGTGTGGCAAGTTGAGGTAGTTTCCATCTGATTACTTCGTTTTGTCTAAGAAGTAGGAGGCAGGGTCATTTATTTGCATGTGGATGACAGTTGTTCAGCAGCATTTGCTGAAAAGACTGTCTTTGCTCCATTATATTACCTTTGTTCCTTTGTCAAAAATCAGTTGACTATATTTATTTGGGTCTATTTCTGGGCTTTCTGTTCTGTTCCATTGATTTGTTTGTTTATTCTTCCAGTGCCACACTGTCTTGATTATTGTAGCTGTATAGTAAGTCTTGAAGTCAGGTAGCATCAGTCTTCCAACTTTGTTCTCCTTCAATATTGTGTTGGCTTCTGTGACTCAGATATTTTGGACAATGAATTTATTGTGGCATCAACCCAGTGGATGATTTTTCTTCAGCCATGTTCCGTGGCCCATTGTTATGTAGTTGGATTGAGCCAGGGTTGGGATTTGCATGTGGAGGTAATGGAAAGGCAGTGCGGCAAATGAGTTGAGGATATCTGTAATAGAATGGTTGAAGTGAGGAATGATAGCTGGATGGATATACTAGTGGTCAGAGAGTGTGATGTATGAATTTCACATTTCATATGTGGAGCAACTGCAAGTGTTGACCAGGTCTAGGGGATGGCCATGAGAGTTGGTAGCTGAAATGGGTATGGAGGCAGCAGCCTCTGAAGATTAGAAGGTCAAAGAGCTAAAAGGCCAGGATGTAAGGCCTCTACATTGGTAGAAATGTCACATGGGATGTTGGCAGAAGTTGGCTGGAAAGGAATCTGTTAGTAGGTTTTTCAATGAGTGAAGAGTGTATGTTGGGGAGATGAATAGCTGACAGTGAAGAGGAGTAAGAAGCGGTATGGCTGGATAATAGAAAACTCAGAGGAGGAGGAGATCTCATATAAGGGTAAAAGAGAGATGATCTCAGAGTCTCACTGAAGAATGAGGAGGATGTCTACCTCTAGCCCACCCCTGAGTTGTAATGGTCTAGGAGAATGTACAACTTCTACCTGACAGGGCTTTAGCACAGAGCTTTTTAGACTTTTTCAGTTCCAATCCACTCCTTTCGAAAAATAAAAAAATGAATTACTAGAAAAATGGTATGACCAAAAAAGCTCTACAAAAAAACAAGCTTCAATTTTTTATTATTACTTTCAACAGGCATAAAATTACTCAGCCAAATTGCCATTAAAGTTTTTGGTTGCTTACTCTTTCTGTACTATCTCAACTACCACATGGACCACACTTTGAGTGGCACTGGCATAGAGAAAATGGTTTTCTCATAGGAGAAGCTGCATTCAGTTAAGCCAGGAAGGTGAGGAAGGGGTTTGTTGAAGGGGATGTGAATATAGAGAGGTTTGTTTACTAAGGAATTGGGTTGCTGGGGGTACAACAGAAAAGGTGATAAAGTTGATAAGCAGTGGATGTTTTGGGTAGAGAAAGCACATAGCCATATGGGATGAAAGTTCTGCAGAGAGATTACCAGAGGGGTTCCTTCTTGAGCAGTGTCCAGGGGTAGCAGGGGTATGAGTCAGAAAGCATGTAGTTCAGGGAAGTGAGTTAATGCTACAAGGTCTGGGGAATGTATTTAAAGATGGTTGAGGCAGGTAAATGGTGAGGTCTAGACTGGGTGAAAAACTATTATTAGCTATTACTTACTATTTACTGTGTACCAGACTCCATATTCATTGTGCTAGGGACTTTATATACATTATCTGAGCCTTCAAAAAAATCCTACCAAGTTGATGGTGATATCCGCAGTTTATTGATATGCAGCATATTTACAGGCATTAGGATTAGCAGTCTGGAAAGCGATGGGGTCGTGATCCCAGGAAGTCAGTTTATGAACATGATCTTGGCTGAAACAGTTGTAGCTACACCCTATTTTTATTCTCCCTGCTGTGTATGGCTGACCAAAAGATTTGAGGAGTTTGATCTTAGCCAGAAGTTATTTGGAGGGCTGCTGATGACTTCTTTGGTGAGGAAAGGTTTAATTTTGTGAGATTTCCACCTCATAAACATGCAAACTCAAATTTTCAAAATCAAATATTTTTAGACATTACAATATGAAATAAGTAACATGTTCATTGTAGAAAATATAATAAGAGAAAAATGATCACCTGTAATCTTTCACTCAGAACCAGTGTTGACTATAAAATCTTTTAGTCCTTTTCATTTAATAAAAGTAGCTCAATAAAGTTTAAAATTTTTAATTCGATGTTGAAATAATATTTTGGATATATTGGTTAAATAAAATATTAAAATTAATTTCACCTGTTCCTTTTTACCTTTTATTTATTTATTTATTTTTAGGCGAGGCAACCCGTGGTTGACCTCACAGATTGCAAGGACCTTGTCAGCTTACAATCTCTTATTTTTTATTTTTTATGCCTACAGCACCTGGTCTTCCTACATGGTCTCCAATCCAAGTACTAACCAGGCCTGACCCTGTTTAGCAGGCCTGACCTTGCTTAGCTTCCGAGATCAGACAAGATCGGGCTTGTTCAGGGCGGCATGGCCATAGACCCTTTTTACCTTTTTAATGTGGCTACTGGAACATTTAAAATTACCTATTTGGCTCACATTATATTTCTATTGGACAACACTGCTCTACAGTCTCTTTCAGCTTTAACCATTTTGAATCTCAATCAAGTTTTACTTTCTGCACGTTTTTAGCTCTGTCATAATTGTTTTAGATTAGTGTGATCCAATAGAACTTTTCACATGGATGAAAATATTTGATAATCTGCCCAGTATGGTCACCTCTAGCCACATATGGCTACTGAGCACTTGAAATAAAGATAGTGTGATGGAGGAACTACATTTAGATTTTACTGAATTTGAATTAATTGAAATGTAAATAGCCCTGTATACTGGACAGCAGAGTTCTAGACCTTATGAAAAATAAAATTTCCATGAACCTTGACTGTTTTTCTCTTTTCTAGTTGTGTCGGTGTCGAAGAGGAGAAGGCTGCTGACATTGACCTCTATCATTGCCCCAACTGTGAGGTCTTACATGGACCTTCCATTAGTGAGTAGATTTTAGGGTTTCCAAGATAAGATGGGCCAGAAGAGAGACAAAGCAAAGGAAACTTGGAAGGGAGATTGCCTTTGCCTGGGTGCTTCAGATTTATCTCCCTTGGGAAATAGAAGAAGCCTGCATAGGCCCCGCAGGCCAGTGGCTACCCCACTGAGAGAACAGAAGTGTAGAGCTTCACCTCCCTTCCTTCCTAGGGATTCTCCAGAGGAAGCACCTATCCTCACCAGGAACTTTCCTGAGTCTGTGAGGAAAGATGTTCCAAGAGCATGTTAGATGGGAAGGGAAGCAGGATCTGCTGCTTCAGATGTTCCAAGAGCATGTTAGATTGGAAGGGAAGCAGGATCTGCTGAGGCCTTTGCTCATTGACCCCAGATGTTCCAAGAGCATGTTAGATTGGAAGGGAAGCAGGATCTGCTGAAGCCTTTGCTCTTGGAACCATAGCTCATGGCCATTCTGACTCATGGTTTCATGTCTTTTTCTGGCTTAGTGAAAAAACGCCGTGTATCTTCAAAAGGGCATGATACACACAAGGGGAAGCCAGTGAAGACTGGAAGCCCTGCATTCATTCGAGAACTCCGGAATCGGACCTTTGACAGGTAAGTTACCCCTACCCCAAGGGCTAGTGAACTCCAGGGCTCTGGGAAGCTGGGACCCATCTCTTCCCAGCCTTCTACTGGCTGTCCCATTAGGTGCTTTCCCCATTGAGGGATGTTTGCAGGGCTCTGCAAGTTCCCTTTGGGGAGGGATCTTCTGTTTTAGTCAGTTTTTGAGAAACATTGCTAGTGTTTCATTCAATTTGCAGAGTACATTAGGGCCCACTTGTAGAAACTTTTGGTAGAGGAGACACTTTTGGGAGGCAGTTTTCACCTAAGTCAGGAAAGGATATTTACATGCACCCAAGGATTGCTACAACTAGGAGTCTTAAAGGTTAGAAAGTTTAATTCTCTCATTGTAGAGAAGAAGAAACTCTTAAAAAATAAAAAAAAATGAGTGGTTATGTATTTCTTTTGCAATCAAGAAAACATTTTTCTTTTTTAAAAAATTAAGATAGGCTTATTAAAAATAAGTTACTTCAATTGAGCAGAAATAATGAGCTAGAAAAATTAATAAATGAAGCACTCTCTTTGCTTTGTTTTTAATTCATTTGATCATTTTCAGCTTTCCTGTAATTGAAGGGTTTAGAATTATAAATATTTCTTCAACTTAATGTTTTTTGTTTTATTTGTTTATTTAAAGGCAGTGAATCTCCCTTCTACCTCAAACCCCTCAGGTCTCTTCTCTAAAGTGAACCAGTTTCTTGTGCACTCTTTCATAAATAATTTTTACTTATATAGCATGTGTGTGTGTATTCTTCTTTTAAAAAAATACAAGTAGAAACACTATATGGTTCTGCATCTTGCTTTTTTTTAAACCTAAATTATATATCTTGGAGATCAGTCGATAGCAGCACATTACAGATGTCCTTCATTCTTTTTAATGGATGTTTAGTATTCCATTGTATGAATATATAATTTATTTAACCAATCCTCTATTGATAAACATTTAAATTGATTCTAGTATTTTGCTATTAGAAAAAAATGCTGCAGTGAATGTCTTTGTATCTAAGTTTTTGCATATGTGGGTGAGTCTATGTGTAGATTTACTACCTAAAAATAAATTGCTAGGTGAAAGAGTATGTGCTTTAAAAATGTTTATAAATTTTACCAAGTTATTTCCAAAGTGGCTATACCATTTCATACTCCCACTAGACAATGTGTGAGAGTGTCTATTTCCCTATATCCTGGCTAACACTGTTTATTATCAAACATATTTTTTGCCTTTCTGATAAGATACAAATAAAATGTTTCCACTTACATTTTTTAATTATGAAGGAGGCGCATATATTTTTGTATATTTCTAAGTCACCCTTATTTCTTTCTCTGTTAACTATCTGCTTATGTTGGACAATTTTTCTGTTGGGTTACTGCCTATTTCTTTTTTTCCTCCCCTCTTTAATTTCCCCCCTGCCCCACTTCTACCCTTGACCTACGGATGTTGCCATCTCCCCTTAAGAACTGGATCTCTGAAGGTGGAGTGTCTCCTCCCACGCGCTCGCAGCACACACCCGGGGCCTGGCACCCCCAGAGTACTCTGGGGGCCTGGCGCACCCAGGGTATGGTCCGTGGATCCACCTGGGGCACGAACTCAGGACCTTCTGCGTGTAAAGCACACATGTTAACCCCTACACTATGGAGCCACCACCTATTTCTTACTAATTTATAACTTTCCTTGCAGAAAATTTAAAATTTTATGTGAATTTATTACTATTTTTTATGAGTACTTGGCCTTGTCTCTCCCATATTTTTTCTTTTACTCTATGGCTTTATGTTTTCTTATTTAATCTTTGATCTGTCTAAAGTTATGTAAACAGTAAATAGACATTTTTCCAGATGTTTGTCCCAACGCAACTTGTCAAGTAGTCTATCTTTTCTCCAGCATGATTTTTTTTAAAAAAGAAAGTCCTGTTTTTCTAGTTAACTCAGTATATGTGCTGAGAAAGTGATTGTAAAAATTATTTTTGTTTTTTTTCATCAATCTTTTCTCTTTATTTGCCAGTATTTTAAAAGAGGTAATGAATGCTGCTCTGGGTTAGAGTAAATCAGCTAAACTTGTGAGATGTCTTTTCTTCTTTTCTCCCTGGGCAGGCTGTTGACTGATTTCTTCCTTTGTCATCCATGGAAGAGCATTCTATTGACAGGATGTCCTGGATTAATCTCCTCACTTCTTCCAGAGATCTGGCTACTTACCTTGGATAGATCCTTTCTTCTCTGGCACATGAACTTTATACCATTAGTTGCTAGCCCATCTTAGGTACCTTCAGGAAAACTGTACACCTTGGGTGAGTGGCAGCATCCAGTGGGGCATTCAGTGGCAGGGCCTTTGGGGCTCAGGCTTTCTCTCATGTGTCCCACAGCTCAGATGAAGTGATTCTGAAGCCCACTGGAAGTCAACTGACTGTGGAATTCCTGGAAGAGAATAGCTTCAGTGTGCCCATCCTAGTCTTGAAGAAGGATGGGTTGGGGATGACACTACCCTCACCATCATTCACTGTGAGAGATGTGGAGCATTATGTTGGTAAGTAACACAGACCCTCTTAACTGTGATATTGTTCACTCCCATCAAGACCTGTGACCCTTTCTCTCTAGTCTACCTTTTGCATTTTTTTTCTTGCCATCTTGGGAATCTGAGGTGAAATGCCTTGCCCAGAGTCATTCTTTAGCAAAGCTAGAAACAAAATCCTGGTCTTCTCTTTTCTTCCTAATATACCACAAAACCCCAGACTGAGCTCCATTTATTACTTGGGGCATTCCAGAGATCATGGTGGTCTCTCTGTCCTTTGTTGAGATGAGAAAACCTTTGATTTTTTGCCCTCAAATGTCAGTTGTCCTCTAGACATGAGTTTTGGGGGATAGGAAGAGAAGAAGTGAAGCAGGGCCCAGGTAGGTGAACTGTACTGTGACTGAGGCTGTGTATCAGGCAGTTCTGTTGCCCTAGCAGACCTGAACCTGGCACATAGGTCTAAGGAGAATGTGAAGGATTCCTACCCCCACCTGCCAAACATGTACATATAAATATAATGTCTGAGGGGAGAGATTTTGAGTATAAGGCCATTCTAGGGACTGATGAGGGGATGAGAGACTCTTCTTTGGTCCCTGAGACCACTTGTTACAGAGCCCATTCTCTTCATTCCAGGCTCTGAGAAAGAGATTGATGTGATTGATGTGACCCGCCAGGCTGACTGCAAGATGAAGCTTGGTGATTTTGTGAAATATTATTACAGTGGGAAGAGGGAGAAAGTCCTCAATGTCATTAGCTTGGAATTCTCCGATACCAGGTAGGAGAGTCAGGGGTGAGTAAAAAGTCTGATAAATGCCTAGAGCTTGCGATATACCGAGTGGATGTTAGTGTTCCTTTCCCTTCTTTCTGGTCCTTTTGGGATGGGGAGCTGGTTTATAGTTTTCTAGGGTAGCTGCTCATATTATAACAACGAAATCTTATTTCTCCTCTACAGTTTCTAGCATCGGATAGATTATACAGTAGCTATTTAAATTAATTTTTATCTCCTTCAAGATTAGGACAGCTTTCTTAGACCTCATGCTGCTATTTAGAATGTGATATTCACTTATTTAACTCCCAAGATAGGTCCTCTGTCCCTGGAAATAGATTTACTAAAATTACTCCCATGTAGTTTCTCTAAGGATAAGGTTTCTTAGATTTGAAAAAAAGGAAAAAAGCTTATAATCTTTAAATGATTCTATCTGGACTCATGCACTTAATAGATATATGTAGTCTTCTCTGTATTCAGAACCGTGGGAGATCCACCAAAATCATAACATATCTTTTTGCATTTAGGAAGCTTACCGATTGCTTACTTCTTTAACTTTTAATTTTAACATAATTATAGATTCACGGGAAGTTGCAAAAAATGTACAGGGAGGTCTGTGTATCCTTCAGCTAGTTTCCCTAAGTGGCAATATCTTAGAATAACTATAGTACAATATTGAAACCCTTACTGATGGTTTTAATATGCAAAGTTAAACAACCTGAAGGCATTTTTAAAAACTATGTTTGTTTATACTTCTCTTCATCTTGAAAGACTATTTGAAGTAACTTACAGAGATGCAGAGAGAGAAAAGAGAAAATTGGACTAAAAGCAAAATAAAGGTGGGGATATAGGATACATCTGGTGGATAATCTGCACACAAAATGTATGTATGAATGTCTGGATAGTTGATAGTGAAAGGCTGTAGAGTTTTCACTGAATTTCCTGAAGGTCAGAACAAAGAAGGGAATGCATTGTTACAAGATTCGTGATTTCACATAGAATATAAACAACCAGATGTTTGGGAGAAACATGTCTACCTGGAACTGAGGCCAGGGAGGTTTCTCTAATGGTTCCTCATAAAGACGATACTATGAGATGGGAACAATGTTATAAACCAAGTGTGTCAAGTGAGTAGGTTCGGTTGAGGGGAGAGTATAAGCATTTAGTGGAGGAAATGATTGCTCTTGACTGGGGAACACTGTGGAGCTGGGACTTGGGACTTTTAAAGCTGAGTGGAATGAGGATGCTGACCAGACTTAGAGTATTAAGTGTCCTGTGTGCTCTTGGGGGTTATATGGAGGAACACCTTTTGTCTTATCTGACTCTTATTGGGATGGGGGGCATTTTATTGAGACTTCAGTCTCAATTCCCAGTCAGCTGACTATCCGCTCTCCATCCCTTTCTTGCTAGGCTTTCTAATCTTGTGGAGACACCCAAAATCGTTCGGAAGCTCTCATGGGTGGAGAACTTGTGGCCAGAGGAATGTATCTTTGAGAGGCCCAATGTGCAGAAGTACTGCCTCATGAGCGTGCGGGATAGCTATACAGACTTTCACATTGACTTTGGCGGCACCTCAGTCTGGTACCATGTGCTCAAGGTAGGAATGGATGTGGCTTCTGGAGGCAGCCAGGCCTTGCACGTATTTGTTTCAGGAGGCAGCACAAAACAGGCTGCTGAGGCCTACCTGCCTTCTGGATTCTATTTGGGTGACATATCCATATAACTACTCTATCATGGTTGGGTACTTAGTAAATATGCCATATAAACTGTCTCTGCTTTACAGTTTTGATGCTTAAAATATTTTTGAATAATAGCAGATGTTTTTTCTCCCCCTGTTATCTTCTTAATTGAACCAATCTATACTCCTACCACTATGTATGGAAATGTCTATATTTACTGCAGAAAGTCCTGGTAACATGAGAAGTTTCCCCTCCCTCCAACTTTATTGAGGTATAATTTATATACTATGAAATTAATCTGTTTTAAGTGTATAGTTTAATGAGTTTTGTCAGTTGTATATAGTTGCATAATACAATTGCCACCACCATCAAGACAGAGCATATATGAGAAGTTCTTTTTAATGTCAGCCTTCCTATAGATAGTTTCTCTTTTAGTGGTTGCTACAATTTTGTAATTAGCATATTGATTATCAATGACTATAAAAGATTTTTGAGGTCTGGAATACAAATTTCTGAAGTAATTTTCATAGTTTTCCACCATCGTTCATACTATTTAGTTTTCTTTTCAGAAATGCCAAGGAAAGAAGCAGAAAACTTATATATCTTATATATGGCTCTTGTCTGAATGATCATCAATCCTGAACTAGTTGTTTTCATTGGTTTATCACAAATTGTCACATGTGAATGAAGGTGCTATTATGTAAATGTTAGATTTAACATTTTTATTTTTAAATAATTTATTTTTTATAGAGAAATTACAAAAATAATGGGAAGAATTTCTGTGTGCCCTTCACTCAGAGTCCCCAAATGTTACTGTTTTACTATATTCTTTTTTTCTCTAAAGCAAACATAAGACAAGGGTTTTATATATATTTTTTTCTGAAACATTTGAGAGTAGTTGCAGACATGGTGTCCCTTTATCTCATAATAATTCAGTGTGTATTTCTTAAAAACAGCATAGTTATCAAAATCAGGAAATTAATATTGATATACTATTAATCTACAGATCTGATTCAAATTTCTCTAGTTGTAGAATAGATATTTCTAGTGTTGCTTTTCTACATTGAAACTTATTATCATGAAATATTGGTTAAACTAATCAAGCTGTGGGTTGGGGATAGTTTTGTGCTAGTGGGTTTTTGTTTCTTTTCTGCCAAATTATCTATCTGGTGATTTTCCAGTCAAAACATAATTAGGAAATAAAATGTTCTTTTAACAGATAATCGCCTAACATAAAATCTTCCAAAAGTCTTTGGGCGATTACTGAACTTTTAAACTTTTATTAGCTTTGATTGCAGGTGTAAGAAGGAACACTTTCTGTAAACAGCATTTAAAGGCAAATTTAATTTTCTTCTCATCAGTAAGGTGGTCTTAAATTCTCCTAGGGCTAGTATTATTGATCTTTTCATCTATAGAGGCCATTTTTCATTTGGCATTGAATCTAAAATAAGAGCCTTTGGTGTACATTGGTACTAAGTTGAACAATTTTGTTTGAAATATACTTTCCAAATTATTTTTGTCAATCTTATAGAAGCTTAAAAGTGCAGAGTGCAAAAGCACCTTTTGAAGTTTTCCAGATCCACATACAAATGATTCGTGGTTGGGTTTGGGAAAGAATTCTGGCGTACTGCATGGTCTTGGAGCATGAGAGAGAGAATATCCTTTTGGAGATCTCCTGGAGGACTTTTCTGGAAACGCTTGGTATTTTTGGCACTTCAACCTCTTGTTTCAGGGTGAGAAGATCTTCTACCTGATCCGCCCAACAAATGCCAACCTGACTCTCTTCGAGTGCTGGAGCAGCTCCTCCAACCAGGATGAGATGTTCTTTGGGGACCAGGTGGACAAGTGCTACAAGTGTTCTGTGAAGCAAGGACAGACACTTTTCATTCCTACAGGTCTTCCCTGGGCCCCTCTGGGAGTGTTTGAGGAGGGCGGGAAGAAGAAGGGAGGTTGTGGCACCAGAACCAACCCCTTCTCATAATGTGTTGATCTGATTATGTGGGATATCCCTTTCATATTAGCTGAAGGCTCAGAATTGGACCTCAAGAAAATTCACATGGTGGCCAGTGGGCAGCATGATTGCTTGAGGAGGCTGCACGTGGGGACAGCCAGGAGGAGGTTGATGGACTTCTTTGCACTGGGCCGATGACAATGTGGTAGACAGATAGAGAACAGGACTCTAAGCCCTATGAATCTAAGGACAGTGACTGGGAAGCTGGCATTGTAAGCTATATATCAGAATGACCTGGCATGAAGATGGGTTCCCCTAAACAAGACATGCCTAGCTTCATCCCTAGAATTATGAATTTATAGGTCCAGGATGGGATCTGAGTGTGTGTAGTTTGAAAAAGTACCCCCAGTTTTCTCAGTTTTGGAAAAGTTGACATCTGTACTATGCTGAGTCTTCCATGAACACAATATATCTCTCCATTTATTTAAATTTTTCTTGATTTCTTAATTTCTCGATTTCAGAATTAGTGTTAAATTTTCTCAAAACATTTAGTAGAATTCTCTAGTGCAATCTCATGGCCCTGGAGATTTCCTTTGGGAGAAGCTTTTAATTAGCATTCAATTTCCTTAAACTTTATTAGGCTATTCAAATTATTTCATTATGGGTGAGTTGTGATTGTGCTTCTCAGGAATTGTTCAGTTTTATCTAATTTGTGTGTAGAGTCGCTTATAGTATTTTTTATCCTTTTGATGTCTTCTAGTTCTCTAGTGAGATCTTTTTTTTATTCCTGATATTATTTGTGCCTTATCTTATTCTGTGTTACTATTAATGGAAGTTCGTCAATTTTATTGAACTTTTTAGGAAACACTTTTTATTTCATTGATTTTCTCTATTATCTTTCTGTTTTTAATTTCATTGATTTCTGCCTTTGTCTTTCTTTTTTCCAGTCTTGAGATAGGAGCTTAGATTCAGTGGTTTCAGACTCTCTTTCTCTTCTAACGTAAGCATTTAGTGCTAAAATTTTACCCTCAGTACTGATTTAGCTGTCACATATTTTCATATGTGGTATTTTCATTTAGTTCAATATGCTTTAAAAATTGAGATATAATTCACATACCATAAAACTTAACCATGTTCAGTTTAAAAAAATATTCACAAGGTTGTGCAACCATCACTTCTAATACCAGAAAATTTTCATCATTCAAAAAGAAACCCTGTGTTCATTAACAGTCACTCCCCATTCCTATCTCCCCCCTGTCCCTGTCAGACACTTTTGTACTTTTCTTTGTATGTAGATTTACCTATTCTGAATATTTCATATAAATGGAGTCATGCAATATGTGATCTTTTGGGTCTGGCTTCTTTCACTTAGCATATTATTTTCAAGGTTCATGTTATAGCATGTATCAGTACTTCATTCTTTAAATGGCTACTCTGTGGATATACCACATTTTGTTTATCCATTCTTCTTTGTAGTCATTTCAATTGTTTTCACTTTTTGGCTATTATGAATAATTTTGCTATGAACATTTATCTACAAGTTATGTTAACATATATTTTCAGTTCTCTTAGGTGTATACCTAAGAGAGGATTTTGTAAGGCCTATTATAACTCTATTTAACTTCTTGAGAAGCTGCCAAACTATTTTTTAAAGCAGCTACTCCATTCTACATTCCCACCAGCAATTTATGAGCATCTCAATTTTTCCACATCCTCCCCAACACTTGTTCTTTTCTATATTTATGATTATAGCCATCCTAGTGGGTATGAAGTGGTATATCGTTGAGATTTTAGTTTGTGTTTCTCTAATGACTATTGATGTTGAACATCTTTCCATGTGCTTATTGGATATTTGTGTATCTTTTTTTTTTTTAATTGAGAAATGTCTGTTCGAAACCTTTGCCCATTCTTTAATTTGGTAATTTGTCTTTTTTTTTTTTTTTTGTAAATCATAAGAATTCTTTATATATTTTGAATATTAGACCTTTATCAGATATATGATTTGCAAATATTTTCTCTCATTCTGGAGGTTGTCTTGCACTTTATTGATGGTGTCCTATGAAGCACAAAAGTCCAGTTGATCTATTTTTGTTTGTTTGTGCTTTTGTTGTAATATCTAAGAGACCATTGCCTAACTTAAAGTCACAAAGATTTATACCTGTGTTTTCTTCTAAGATTTTTATAGTTTTAATTCTTATATTTAGGTCTTTCTTCCATTTCAAGTTAATTTTCATATATGGTGCAAGGTCAAGATCCAGTTTCATTCTTTGACATATAGATGCCCAGTTCTCCCAGAACCACTGGGAAAGACAAT